CACGTTCACGTAGCAGCCCCGAACCCCGTCCAGGCTGGTGCGCAGCACGTAGCCGGGCTCCGGGTGCACGAACCGCACCTCCACCCCGCGCTCTCGCTCCAGCGCGGTGATCTCCGCCTCGTATCGCCGCCGGTTCTCCGGGTCCGTGATCTCCTGCGCGTACTCGGAGAACATGCGCCGAAAGTCGGGGTCCCGGAAAGCGGAGGTGAGACGCTGGGCCTCCTCTCTGCTCAGGTCCAAGTCCTCCAGCGACGAGGAACCCTCTGCTGTGGCCATGTTGTTCGGCGATTCCTTGTTCTCGCCCTAAGGATGAAGAGCCGAAGCTTGGGGGTAGGTAGGACGCACCGCGGTGTCTCCTGTTCGTGGCAAGTGACCGGCCTGGAGTTAAGTCGGTAACGGCTGGCAGGGTGAGCCCGGACTGCGCGTGCTTGTTGCCATAGGAACGCCACCCACCGGGAGGAGGGGCAGCAACCGGGTGGAAATGCTAGAAAGCTTCATCCTCTCTTCAGCCATCCAACCGGCTGCGTTTTTTAGTTCCTTTGCCTCTTAAGTGTCGCAATTTACAGCATTTTGTACATTGCCTCATTCGATGTTCATAACACTAAGATAAACACCCTTTCTTCACAGGCAAGATAGGGGACCTGAGAAGTTACCAGGGTTCCCAGGGCAGCGTCCCGTAGCCGTAGCTGATTCAAAACCCAACTTTATCTGCCTTTTTTCATTTTGCTAAAGCAACAGTTTAATCTTAATTTTCCGCCTTTGCATTTTCTGGATGTTCTGCTATACATTCTGCCCACTTAAAAAATCACTTGGGGCAAAAAGTTATGGGCAGACCAGTCGGAAGCAATTACTACCTGCCAATAAGTATTTGCGACTTAAGCTTCATTAATCATAAAAATGCAAATGTAAGATACTATATAGCACCTTTCAAAATGGCCGACTTACGTACAGTTACTGTGTTCTAATGATGGGAACAGAATTCATAATTGCATACTTTTTAACCCAGATACACTTAAAATAAATATCTGACCTGTCCTAAGGGCATGATTTTGGAGTTTGGAAGAATCTTAAGAGTTCAACAAGGAACTGTCAGATTTTGGTAGTAATATGACAGGATTTTACGTTGTCATTGGAAGTGATCCTATAGAAATGGGTTTTGTGCCGTGCTGGGGATGGAACCCAATGCCTCACTCCTGTAGCACGTGCTCTATTAATGGGCAGTCTCCCAGCCCCAAAGTATTTTTATTGGCTGGGGTAGTTTTTAGTTGGTAACTGGTCAATTCCATAACTGTTTTTGTATTCTCAACAATACTATTCAATTGATGTGGTATGACATTAGTGACAAGACCCTTTCCAGGTATATCTCTTACCACAGCATACTTTCAGTCTGTTTTGCAGATATCTTCCGTTCAGTTTCTAGTAGAAACATTCTGAGCTTGGGGTTCCACCTCTTCTCCATCTATACTGTCCTTCACAAATATATGCACACTCACAAAAACCAAACTTGTATTTCAGAACCCAAACTGGACTTCTGTATCCAGCTGCCCACTTGAAGTTTCCCATTAATGCTTAAGCCTTTTGATCCTTTTTATTTTCTAATTATTATTATTTTTGCGGGGGTACCAGGGATTTAACTCAGGACTTGGCGCTTATGAGGCAGGTGCGATGCCACTGAGCTAAATCCTTGTGCCACCTCCCCCCAACAGGGTCTCACTATGTTGTTCCAGCTGGCCTTGAACTCACTAGAGAGCTTAGGCTGGCCTCAAACTCTGGTGATCTCCTGCCTCAGCTTCCTGAGTGCTGGGGTTACAGGCTTGCACCACCATGCCCAGCCCTAGCCTCTTAGTTTAGAAACGACCAAAAACAGAATTCCAGCTCTTCTTTCACAGAACTAAGCCATGATCTCTTGGCAGCCTTCAAAGCAACTGACCACCACATTTGGAACATATTTTTTGCAGAATATGGTTTACAGAACTCGAAGCTCTCCAGTTTTCACTTCATCTTAGCCAAAAGGCTGAGAAGCAATGATCTCCAATTTTGTGTTTCTTGATCCTCTTTTTTTGTTTGTTTTGTTTTTTTGAGAGAGGGTCTCACTATATAGTTGAGTATGACCTGGTACTCACTATGTAGCCCAGGCTGGTCTCGAACTCAGCTATCCTCCTGCCTCAGCCTCCTGAGTGCTGGGATTACAGGCATGCACCCTCTTCTGTTTTTTAAATGTGGGCGTCACTCAAGACACCCAACCCTCTTATGTAATATTTCTTCCAAGATGATTTTACCCAAGCCCATAGCATGTATGTTCAAATTGGTCCTTCCAACAGATATTTGTTGCATACTTACTGCAATATAAACATCACTGTTCTGGGTACCAGAACAAAATGAAATCATGCTCCAAGGATGTGAGGCAACCTGCACTCTTATGTGCTGGAAGAATATACTGAAACAAGCACTTTGGAAAATTGCAATTGAACATAATACCTTAAGAAATTTTGAGACATAGTTCAGTAGAAACACATAGTCAGCACAACGTATATGACAATATATAAATTTGAAGCAACACTGTTCATAATCCTTAAACAGTGGAAACTATTCCAATTCTCATTTATTAGATGGACAAATAAACGTGTACAAAATACATATGGTTTGACTCCATTATGTAGTAGACAAAACTTGGTTAAATAAATCACTGTTTAAAGTTATGATTATCAATCAAAACTAAAATCTTTAAACAATTTTTTAAAATAAATTTTGAAGATGTAAAAATGTCAGACTAGTGATTACCATTGAGTAGAGGTTGGAATGTGTCGACTGGAAGGGATCAAGAGTGAACTTCTGCTGTAGGATTGTTTCTTAATCTTGCTGGGCTGTTGGGTGTGCAGTTTGTGAAGTGGTTGAGCTGTACACTGAATAAGAGGAGTTTGTGTATCTTATACTTTAAAAGTTAGAAACAAACCTTTACCCTTGTAGCTCTTAAGTTGGGTGGGATTAGTGACTTGAAAATTCTGTCTCCAGTCCCACCTGACCACTGAGCGAGCACTAAGAAGTACACATTGCTGCCTCCTGATTTCTCCACCTGGATGTTTGACAGGTGTTTCAACACATTCAAAACAGATATCCTGAGTTTCTTTTCTCAAACCTCTCATTGCTCAGTCTTAGAAAATACCACCCACCTGGTACTTAAGCCTAAAACCCAAATGTGATCTTTGGTGCCTCTTTACCTCATCCTGAAATGCCATTTAGCTACGAAATTGTACCAGCTCACTCTACCTGAAATTCATCTTTCCATTTTTGTCTGAGCCACCATCATCTCCCTTGCAGACTTCTGCAATAGCTTCTTGACTGGTCTCCAGCACTCTTTTTTTGTACCGGAGATCAAACTCTTAACTTGCACTTTCAAGGCAGGTGACAGAACCACTGAACTAAATCCCCAGCCCCAGCCCTCCCTTTTCTTTTGCAAACAGTGCTGGGGTTGAACCTGTGGTTGCACACATGCTAGGTAAAGGCTATACCATGGAGCTATATCACCAGTCCAGCTCTTCCCTTCTTAAAATCTCAGGTACTGAAAACAAAATCAGCTTATATTATTCCCTGCTGAAAAACCTTCCAGTAGCTTCATATCGAATTTTCTCTGTACCTGACCACTGTCCTTCTCTATTCACCATCTGGTGTGTTGTCCCCCCCCCGCCAGCCTAATTTCAGATGCTCTGGATTCCTGCCCTGTCTGGGCCCTTCAATCTCAAGAACTACATCACCTTAGTGGCTCCTCATGGCATGCTTCTTCCACCTCCAGCACCCCATGTCAAATTGCCCACACTTTTTATTTTTACCATATTTGATTTTTTATTTTGGGGGTAGGGCTGTCTGAAGGTGTCATGAAATGTAGGGCTTTGTTTTTGTGATATACTACTACTCCCCAGGACTAGAACATGTTGGGTATTCATCTCAGGAACTAGTGTAGTAAAGAGAAAAGCAAGTTTAAGACATATATGCTTACATTATTTCTGTAGGAAAATAATATTCCCAGAGAACAAACAATATATCACAAAATATTAACAAATTACTTTCATTGGGGAATTACAGGCCATTAACACTTTTGTGCTTATCTATACTTTGTAATGTTTTTACTATGAATTTGTTCAATAAAGTCTTTAAATGTCTAGTCATTTATATCTGCAAGTTTTGAGGCATAAAGGTGGGTTCTGGCAGGTCTTTAAAACACGATTGTATGTAAAATCACACACCTTTCTATTGGAACCTTAATGTCAGAGAACATGCCCCCAGTAGCTAGTGATCAATTCATTTTAAGTCACTGTTGTACCTTCAAGATTTTGGACAAATCTAATCTTTAAAAAGATGTTTCCAGCCATTTGAGGTAGCACAAACTGGTCTGGGAGGCTGAACTAGGAGAGTAACAAATCTGAACTCAGATTTAGCAAGACCTCATCTCAAAATTTTGAAAGGGCTGGGAATGTAGGTTGATGCAAAGGTTCTGGGTTTAATTTCTCAATGCCACCAAAAAAAGATTCCAGATATGTATGCAAGCTATATTACTCAATGACAACAAATCACTAGTGGCTGTTTGGAAATGATAATGACTTTCAAGGGGCTGGGGATTAAGCTCTGGTGCCACCGCCTGCCTGCCTCCAAAGTGCAAGGTCTTGAGTTCAATCCCCGGTACCCCCCCCAAAAAAAAACCAAAAACAAAACAAACTGGCTGGAGGTGCATCTGAAGATTAAAAATCAGAAAGGCCTGATTTACATGCTTCCCTAAGGAAGTTTGAGACTACTGCTAATGAATGACCTTCAGTTCCTGAGTCCTCTGAAAGTATATCTGATATTGCACATAGGAGCAGGCTTGTGGGTGTGTGTCGGTGCTGGGGGTTCCAAATAAAACAGCCAGTTTACACTGGGCTTCTCTACATAGTGTTCCAACATCAGGCTAATTCTAATACTCAAATTTTCCATCCTCAAACCACATCTCAAATTGCACTTCCTCATATTAAATTTCCTTCAGGAATTTTCTCCACTGCGTCACTATTAATCTACCCCCTCCAAAGCTAATTATTTGAAAGAAACGTCTTCCAGTCCAGGATTTAAAATTTTTAACTGTACTCTTAACAGCTTCCTGTCATTCAGATTCATTTCTGACCACAGTTAAACCAACTCCTTAAACTAAAATCAAGAGGAGGAAATGACTGATTACACACAAACATGCTCTTCTGGTTTGAAAGCACTGGAAACTTCATGTGCTGCCAACAGTGTCGAGAAGTGAGGCCTAGTGATGACGGGATCAGCCACAGGGCGCAGTGGATGGGTTGATGCTGGTTCCACATGAGCGCCTGCACTACAAAAGGATGGCTTCAGCTCCCTCTCCTTCTTTGCCCTTCCACCATGGGATGATGCAGGAAGGTGGATCATTCAAAGGCAGGCCCCTCCATCCTGGACTTCGGACCTTCAGAACAGTACACTTTTCTTCAT